ATCGTATGGAGCGTGCCGGAAGGGCAAATCCTGCAGAGGATCTACGGGTTCAAGAAGCCCGTCTCCAGGGGTACCTTCCTCAACAGGGACGAATATCGCATCCCTCCTATCCTCGTTAGCTCCCTCGACTGTGATGTGAAGTTGTTCCTGCCCGACACGGGGCTGCATGGCTTCATGCACTTCTCGATCCTCGGGGTCGAGCACATGCCCAAGGGGACCGAAGAGGTCGAGCGATTCCTCGTGTTCGAAGTCGGTCGAAATCGCCACTGCTTGCGCACACATCCGGCCGGTGATGCTGATGCTGATACTGATGCTGATGATGATGCTGATGATGATGCTGATGATGATGATGCTGATGATGATTGAGGAGAAGGAGAAGGAGAAGGAGAAGGAGAAGGAGAAGAAGGAGGAGGAGGAGGAGATGATGATGATGATGATGACAACGGAGAGGGAGGGAAGGAGAGGGAGGAAGGATTCGCAGAAACACTAGTTGTTGTTTGTCAATGGTAGCCATATACCTCGCCTGTTCCTGACTGATCGGCAGGAGGAGATTCGCTTGACTTCGAGTCTGACGTCACGGGCCATCAGTTGAGCTGCTCGGTGTGGGATATGAACGAGATGGTCAGGGTCCAGCTGTTCGAGTACAGGAGGAGCGAGGGTGTCAAGCTGATTGGAGGTCCACCCTGTCCTGGGCATGAGCTGGGACCTGACGAGTGTCATGGCAGAGTACAGCACCACCCATGGGGACCTGATCGCAACTAACAGTGAGTCACCTCCTTCGGTCGCCTCCTCGTGACTCGGATGTCTACCCAGGCGCCAACGGGATCTCAAAGAGATACAAGCTGAAGAAACCTGGAGGCAACCAGCTGACCAACGGGAACCACGTGACTGTGGTGAAGATGAACGTGCGCTTCGAGGAGATGGTCCACAACGCCAACCTGCACGTCTGTCCTCCTCCTCCTCTCCGCCTGCTGCCGTGCTGAGACTTGCGCAGGTGACGGTGGAGGAGGGAAAGAATATCAAGAACCCGGATGACAAGGGCCCCATCAACACAGTCTGTAGCATCAGGACGCAAAGGGGACAAGAGTATCAGACTGACGTGGTAGCGCCCCTTTCCCTCTCTTTTCCAATCTCCTTTCCTTGACCTGTTCTCCTCTTCTTACGCCTTCCCCTATCCCTTCCCTCTCACCTGTCCTTGTCCCTTATCCCACTGTCACCTCCTCTACCTCCGTCCTCCTCTCCCTCGTTCTTGTCCCTTATCCCCCTCTCTCTCCTCTGTCTGCGTCCTCCTCTCCTATGCTCTCCTCCTTGACGCTTCTGTGCTTCAGGCCATGGCAACCAAGACGCCGCAGTGGAGGAAGGAGATGTACTTCGGCATCGGCCCCAGCACCCTCGAGCTCACCGTCCAGACCTTCATGGTCGAGCCCTCCGACAGGTCCCTCAAGGAGCTGGGTTCCAACGTCCTGCGCATGGACAAGCTGCTGAGCAAGGCACACCGGTTCGCTCCTCCTGCATGCTCGGGTGACTTGGACTTCAGGTGTGCTCGCAGCAGGAGCCGCTGATCAACTGGTACGTCGTGAGGAACGAGGATAGGAAGAGTAGAGGTTCTGTCCGCCTCAAGTTCAGCTACACGGAGGCTGTGAAGGAGAAGAGTCTGGTGCCCAGAGTTCTCCCGCGCCTACTCGTCTTATCATTTGGACGCAGAGCCAGTACACGGTGTTCCCGGCGATGCTGTTCGGGGTCCGCAACGAGAAAGGATACTTCTTCACGCCAAGGCACAGCATCAGGATGTTCGGGAAAGTGTAAGGAAGAGCCTGTGCTGCTTCTCCCCTCGTGACCGCTCGATCAGGCTGTGGAACAGCACGTGCAGCTACTGCAAGAGGAAGAGGAAAGAGCACATGCCCGATGGCAGATGCGAAGACTACTCCATTCTCGACGGAGTTCAGATTCTCTCCATGGCAGCGTAAGCCTTGCATGCAGCTGCTGCTCTGCCCTGAAGCATGCTCCAGGTCCACAGACGGTCTGCTCGTGGCGTGGGGGACAGAGCTGGGCTACGTGACCTTGACAGCGGTTGACTCGGGGGACCGACTAGCCACATGGAGGGCGCACAGCGGACCGGTTGATCCTCCTCCTCCTCCTCCTCCTCCTCACTTGTTCCTCCAGGTTGTTGACCTGTGCTTCTCCATGGACAACAAGTTTCTGTGCTCCTGTGGGAGGGACTTGCAGCCATCGGCGCCGCTTGCCGGCGACAAGAACTAGTACCATTGCAGCATGCTGCTAGCTCCCCTGTTGACACTGTTCCTGCAGCTCTCCGGAGGAACTGGAAGCGCTTCCCAGGAGGAACTCGGTGATCCGGTGGGACCTGGAGGGCTGGATCAAGACCAGGATGCGGAAGAGATGATAGTGTGAAGGATGTAATCAAAGTCGAACTTTTCAACTCCTACTCCTCCTCTGCTCTCCCTCTCCCTCTCCCTCTCCCTCTCCCTCTCCCTCTCCCTCT